GGCATTCCGCCGTGGGAGAGCCACCTCTCATGCCCCTGGCTGCAACCCTCCTTCAAAGGGTTGCGGGGGTCCAAGATCAACTCAGACCCCTCCCCATCGGCATTTTTGTGGGCCGCTCACATTAGAGCAAGGATGGAGCGCACCCACTTGCGAGTCGCCTGAAAACCGGAACCACCCATAATGGTTAAAGAGCTTCTGTTTTGGGCTGGAAGGGGCTGGTTCAAGTCAAAGGTCAGCCATGAACTCAGTAGGGGGCTGTAGGGCAAGATACTCTTAGTATCAGCTTTTCTCTTGCTCTCTCCACAGTATGGGGAGAATAATACTGGCTATAAGTACAGGCTAAGTGTAAACATTACTGAGAGTATATGTGAGGTACTTCAAATACTTAGGAAAGACACCTTACTGTAGAGTTGACAGGGGAAAGTTGTAGGGGGTAGGAGGGTTGCACATCCCTCTTGTTCTTTAGTGAAAATTGTCCCTTCCTGAGTTGGTTAGCTTTAAAAATTGTCATTCAGTATGTAATATTATTTACTTCATGTATATCCTGCCTTTCTCCCCAATGGGGAACCAAAGTGGTTTACTTAATTCTTCTGTCCTCCATTTTATTCTCACAACAAGCCTGTGAGGTAGGTTTAGGCTGAGAATATGTGACTGGCCCATGATCACCAAGCAAGCTTCCATAGTACAGTGGGGATTAAAACCCAAGTCTCTCAGATCCTAATCCAACACTGTAACACGTACACTGTACTCTTAATTAGTACATAATATGTAGTTCTACGCCAAGATTTTTGCAAGACTTTACTGAAATTCTTCAAATTTTGTTATTGGGCTAGCATCCTTCCATCCATCCACACAGTAGTGGCAGAATTTCCTCATAAGGGTTGGGCTACATTAAATATTTTAGTCAAGTGTGTTTTCATGTTCAGATACAATCACATTAATGGCACTATATGGGACCGAAGCAGATGTACCTACTGCAAAGTCACATGTTTCACATATAAAGCAAATCCATGTTGTGCTGCTGGCTAGTTAAACTACCACTATGAAAGTTTAGCATTAAATGTCACATATCTAGGATGTCACAGTACTGCTGTCTTTGTACATGTCAAAATGCCCCAACTGTGCTTCATCACAAACACTTCACACATTCCTGCACATGTAATCGTTTTATGTCACTGTTCCCTTATATTCCTATATTAGTTGAACTGCCTGGGTCCTCTATCCTCAAAACGTGTTTGCCAGTATTGCTGCTCATAATGTGGGCTATAGCAGTGGTTCTCAGTCTTTAGTATTTTATATCCTCCAATCACTCTGTGAAAGAATATGGGTCCCATATTCTGTTGTTATATTTATCATTTACAACAAGCTTTAAGAACAGGGGAAAAAATGCAGAAACACAGTGGATAATCACTGGCAGGTAGGGTCAGCAGGAAGCAGTACATCAAAGATACCCACTGGTTGCGGGAGGACTAGGAGAAATATTGAGGGTCCATGGTTATCAATAGCATGCCTAAATGTCAGAACAGGATAATCTGTGGCGGGTAGGGTTAGCAGGAAATGGCATGTCACACTTACAGGTGGATATGGGCAATGAGAAACAGCAAATTCTTAGTAACTGGTATGAAAAACCTGTTTCCCACCTAAACTACCTCTGAGTCCTACCAATGGTACCCATACCATCAGTTGAGAACCACTGGCCAGTAGCATGACAAGTACCTACTGACCTGACTTTGATACTGTCTTTCCAAGTGAAACATGAGAAAAGTGATACTTGAGTTCTATTATTATCTGCTGCTGTTCAGAGTTCAGGTCTCTCATAGAACTGGTAATTCTCTGCTTTTCTTCTGAAAGCCAAGTTTGGCAATGCTTGGTTGTCATGGGCATTCAAACATGAAATTAAGCAAACTCCAGAGCACGACGGAAGACAGGAGGGCCTGGCGTGATGTGGTCCATGAGGTCGCAAAGAGTCGGACTTGACTGTGCGACTGAACAACAACATGGGCATTCAAAAATGGGTTTTTGCCTAAGCCCTTTTAAGCTTTTATGTAACCCATTTTTTTTGTATGTATGTTTGCAATTTAACATGCCTATCTTGACCTCACATTTATTTATTTATTTTATTTATTCGACTTCTGAATCACCCTCCCGTGCTAGTGCAGTTCTAAGGGAGAGTAATTACTACGAATAATAATATTTTTTTAAACATTAAGACAGTTTAACATATACAACCCTAAGTTACTAATGGTAGCAGCAGATAACAATAGATTTACAATAAATAGATTTTAAAAATTCACATCGGGGAAAGATTTAGTAGCGCTGGGGGGAAGGCCAGGGAAAGGGGGCAAAAGGAAGGCCCATCAGAGTCTGTATTCTTCTTTGTCAGGACTCAGGAGTCTTGGCCATAGGCCTGGTGGAACAGCTTTGTTTTGCAGGCCCTGTGGAACTGTGACAGGTCTCACAGGGCCCGAGTCTCAGCTGGAAGAGTATTCCAGCAGGCCAGGGGCCAGGGCAGAGAAGGCTCTGGCTCTGGTTGAGGCTAAGCGAACATTTCTTGGCCCAGGAATCATCAGTAGGTCTGTGAGCGTAATGCTTTATTTTTTTGTGTGTGGGGTTATACCAGGAGAGGCGATCCTGAAGGTATGCACGTCCCAGACTGTGTAGGGCTTTAAAGGTTAAAACCAACACTTTGAACTTGATCCAGTATTCAATCTAAAGTCAGTGCAGCTGGTGGAGCACCAGTTGAATATTTATTTATTTATTTGATTTATAGACCACCCTCCCCTAGGGCTCATGGTGGTGAACAACATTTCAATAAATACATTTACAACTGGATTAAAACCATTAAAACAATAACAAATTCTATAACTAGAACAAAGTTAGAGTCCAATCGCACCTTTAAGACCAACAAAGTTTTATTCAAGGTGTGAGCTTTTGTGTGCATGCACACTTCGTTGGACGATGAAATGGAATTACGTCTCATAGTTGTATATATAGGAGTGGTTTGTTAAATTAGCATGCAAAATAGCAAGGACACATTTTTTAACAGATCAAAAGAATGACAAGCTTAGTTCCTGGTTATCATCTGTTTCGGTTCAACTGGGGGGGGCACAATATATTTATTACTTATGTTGTCCCGCCCCCAGTTGAACTGAAACAGATGATAACCAGGAACTAAGGTTGTCATTCTTTTGATCTGTTAAAAAGTGTCCTCACTATTTTGCATGCTAATTTAACAAGCCACTCCTATATACACAACTATGATATGTAATTCCATTTCATCGTCTGACAAAGTGTGCAGGCACATGAAAGCTCACGCCTTGAATAAAACTTTGTTGGTCTTAAAGGTGCCATTGGACTCTAACTTTGTTCTGTTGCTTCAGACCAACATGGCTACCCGCCTTGATCCAAATTCTATAACTATTTCAGATGGCCTGTAAAGATCAATTTATGTCTGTGCCTCATGAGGGAAAAGGAGAGATTTAGGAGGACAGGTTGATGAAAAACCACTGCTGTCCTCAACTACAGACAGACCTAGCAGAACATTTCTGTCCTACAGACTCTGTGGAACTGCACTAGGTCCCGCAGGGCATGGATGTCAGTAGGCAAAGAGTTCCACCAGGCCGGCGCCAGGGCTGAAATGGCCCTGACGCTGGTTGAGGACAGCCAGATATCATTCAGGCCAGGGATTACCAGAAGGTTCTTCTCCCCAGAGCACAATGCTCTCCCGGGGGTATACCAGGAGAGGCAGTCCTGTAGATATGTTGGGTGCCAGACTGTTTAGGGTCTTGAAGGTTAATATTAGAACCTTGAATTTGATCCAGTATTCAATCTGGAGCCAGTGCAGCTGGTAAAGCAACAGTTGAATATGTGCTGTCAGAGGGGTTCCAGTAAGAACCCAGGTCGCTGCATTCTGGACCAGCTGTAATTTCTGGGGTCCAGAAGCACATCCAGGCTCTTGATGGTCAGTACCAGCATTAGAGGTACACCGGCACCCCAGCCCTGAATCCCCAACAGTTGAATATGTGCTGTCAGAGGGGTTCCAGTAAGAACCCAGGTCGCTGCATTCTGGACCAGCTGTAATTTCTGGGGTCCAGAAGCACATCCAGGCTCTTGATGGTCAGTACCAGCATTAGAGGTACACCGGCACCCCAGCCCTGAATCCCCAACAGTTGAATATGTGCTGTCAGAGGGGTTCCAGTAAGAACCCAGGTCGCTGCATTCTGGACCAGCTGTAATTTCTGGGGTCCAGAAGCACATCCAGGCTCTTGATGGTCAGTACCAGCATTAGAGGTACACCGGCACCCCAGCCCTGAATCCCCACCCCCAGCCAGCCACAGAACCTTTGTCTTTAATGGATTCAATCTCAGCTGGCTCTGTTTCAACCATCCAACCACGTCCTCCAGCCCTTAAGCCAAAGTAGCTGGGGCGGTGTCTGGCTGTCCATCCACCAGCAGATTCATACTGATGACAACCCAGCCCAAAACTGCACCAGCTGGGTGAGGGAACATATATACATGTTAAACAACATTGGAGGAGTGCCCTGAGGGACCCCACATACCAAGGGGTGTTGAGGTGACACCGTCTCTCCTAGCCACCCCCCTCTTTACATTGGAGAAATGAGGTAAGCCACTTCAAGGCTACCCCATGAACTCCTATGTTGAGGTCAACATTGTCAGGTCTAGCAGTAACAGCAATGCCAACCTGTCTCCAGATGTCCTTCTTTGTGCCTGTCTGTACCGCCACATAAATATATAAAATATTTCATTAAAGTACATAATTTTTTTCCCGTTGTTGTTTTTAGGAATCTTCTGCACCAAAAACTGGTGTTATAATTTTTGGATTATACATAGATGGTGCATGCTGGAGTCCCACTAAGGAAGCGTTGGAAGATCCTGACCTGCACACAAGATTTTACCCACTACCAGACATACTTTTTTTACCACAACAGGTAACTATATATTTCATCTTAACAAGTACTGAGTGCATACTTGATTTATATCCTTTCTCCCCAAAGTGGCTTACATCTTTTCCCTCTCCTCCATTTCATCCTCACAACAACCCTGAGGTAGGTTAGATTAATTTTAGACCAGTCATACATCCTCAACCAAAAAGCTTCCATGGCAGAGCAGGTATTTTAATATGGGCCTCCCAGATCCTAGTCTGACACGCTAATCACTACACCACACTGTATCATTTTGCTACATCACTGATTTCCTCCCTGCTTCCCCCCCCCCCCAGTAACGGTTGCAAGTTATATTGTATTAACATGGTAATAGCATACATTTGGGCATAGAATATAATTATATAATGATAGTTGCTAAAGGGCACTCTTGTACAATATTAAACAAAAAATAGTTGTGTGTAAACATTGTAGCTTGAAGATGCTGAGTATCCTCAATGTATGCCTAGTCAGGGCCGGCTCCAGGCGTTTTTGTGCCCTAGGCGGGGCTACCTTCTGGCACCCCCGCCGCCACGAGTCCACCAATTATGGGGGGTGCCAACCTCCAGGTGGGGCCTGGAGAGAAGGATCCTGATGGGTCCCTGCCCCCCCTCCACCGCCACATAAATCAGTTTGCTCTGGAGCCGTCCCTTCCTGAGCTGAGACAAAATGTGTGAGCTGGAGGCTAAAAAACTGTGAGCCAGCGCACACTCACTCAGCTTAGAGGGAACACTGCTTCCGGATGAGCTGAAGAAAAGCACATACATAAGCCACAGTCTTTGCAGACAGAGAGAGGAGGGGAGGGTCTGTCCTTTCCAGTCAGCTTGGAAATTCGTGTGCCCCAGCAGGAAGAACGAAATGTCTCAACCCCTGATCGTATGCCGGTTATCTCTCCGGCCTTCCCCACCCCCACCAGGTGTCTTCTAGAGAAGGGGGTGTGTGGAAAGGGGGAGAGGGATTTCTGCAAAGCAGCAGATGTGGGTGGACGGAAAGTCAAGGGGAGGGGAAACCGCCGGTTTGGGAGCCCAGGAAAGAAAGAAAGAATGCTTTGCACACAAAAGCTTTAGCTTCCAATGAAACTTTGTTGATCTTAAAGGTTCCCCTGGGCTCAAGCTTTGTGCTTGAGCTCAGGGTTACTCCTGCACACGAAATGCTTCTCCCCCACCCCAGAATCAAACTGAGCTGGCCTCCGAGGTGCCCACCAGCGCTCCCTCTAAGCTGTAGAGTCCTGTGGGCAAGAATTCCACTTGGTGCGCTCCTGGCATTAGGGTTGTGAGC